TCTTTTTCATTCCTAGCCTCAGATATGTTATAGCAACACACAACTAGCCAGCAGCATGACTAGTATTATACTTTCTACAAACTAAAAGGGATGCTTTTATATAGAGAGTATTTCTTGTATACATGGTACTACATTAGACAACTAAGACAAAAATGTTGTTTGATAAGATTAAAGTTATTGAACTTTCAGGCGCCAGTGGCTCACACCTGTAATCCTAGCTGCTCAGGATGCTGAACTATGAGTGAGGATTGTGGTTCAAAGTCAGCCCAGGAAGTAAAAGTCTGTGGGACTCACATCTCCAATTAAATCACAGAAAAAGCTGAAAGTGGTGCTGTGGCTCAAGTGGTAGAGTGCTAGCCTTGAGCAAAAGGAACTAAGGAACAGCGCCCAGGCCCAGAGTTCAAGTCTTAGGACTAGGGAGAGAGGGAGGGAGGGAGGGAGAGAGAGGAAGACAGAGAAAGAGAGAGAGAATTGAATAATTTAAATCCTAATTTCCACCTACCTCTTGCCAACAATAGTTGGTTTGATGACAAATCCTTATATCAGTTATTTGAAAAGGTAGAACCTGACTCTGAAGTCAAATTTTAGTACTATATGTTGGGAGGTAAAGCTCCACCATAGCAAAATAGAGTAAGCTTTGGTACTACCTTTTCTAGGGAGAAATTCCTCTATTTAAAAAGAAAAAAAAAACTATAGAGTTGGAATATCTCCCTCTCCCCTGGTACTAAGGATTGAACCCAGGACCCCGTGCTTATGGGGCAAGTGATCTGCCACTTGAGCTACAACCCTAGCCTTTCTGCAATTAATTTTATTTTTGAGATAAGAGTCTTGTAAGTTGGCCAGGGCTAGCCTCAAACTGAAAATCTTCCTGCTTCCACATCCCAGGTGCTGAGATAATAGGTGTTCATCAGCACATCAGATGGAAGACTTTTTTTTTTTTTTTTTTTTTTGGCCAGTCCTGGGGTATGAACTCAGGCCTGGGCACTGTCCCTGAGCTTCTTTTTTTAGCACAAGGCTAGCAGTCTACCACTTGAGCCACAGTGCCACTTCCGGCTCTTTCTGTTTATATGGTACTAAGGAATGGAACCCAGGGCTTCATGCATGCTAAGCAAGCACTTTACCACTAAGCCATATTCCCAGCCCTGGAAGAATTTTTTTTTTTTTTCTGGTCGTGGGCCTGAACTCTGAGCTTGGGTGCTGTCCCTCAGCTCTTCAGCTCAAGGCTCCCTCTCTGCCACTTGAGCTACAGCACCACTTCTGGCTTTTTCGGCTTATGTGGTGCTGAGGAATCGAACCCACGGCCTCATGCATGCAAGGCAAGCACTCTACCACTGAGCCACCTTCCCAGCCCCCTGGAAGACTTCTTATAAGCACTTGAGACCAGACACAAGAGATTTTCAAGTCAGTTATGCAAAGAAAAGGAGAAAACCAGAAACATAGAAGGTTGTCAAATTGGGATTAAAACAAGTAAAATGTATTATTTATAACAGACATACTAAAAAAGCATAAGGACAGCTGGGGAGGAGGGTGGCTCATGTCTGTAGCTACTCAGGAGGCTGAGATCCAAGGATCATAACTGGAAGGCAGCCTACACAAAAAAGCCCAAAGTGGAGCTGTGGTACAAGTGGTAGAGTGCTAACGTTGAACAAAAACGCTCCAGGACAAGCATCTGAGCCCTGAGTTCAAGCCTCAGGACCAGCACAACAAAACAACAGAATCAAAAAGACACAGAATGATTAATAATGAAAGGGTGGTATCAAATATATCATGGAAGTACTAAATTCAAGGAAGCCATTATAGCTATATTGGATGATATAGACATTTAAACTAAAAAGCATACTATTGACAACCACTTCATGAAAATATAATTTATCTTTCACCAAAGATGAAAACAATTTTACTTTATATACAGACCTCACAAAGAAGATTGACAAAAGTAAACAAATGCACAATCAGATATAATTCCATTTGAGGAAATTTGATCTAACTGAATACATATAGAATAATGTAACCCAAATGGCACAATGCATTTTTTTCAAGCCTACACATTTACTACTAAGTAGATCTCAAATTGTTCCATACAGCAACTCTCAACAATTTTCAAAATCACAAAAACATGTTTACTAATTCTAATTTAACAAATGCAGTTGGATGTCAGTTATATCTCAACTAAGTTTTTTTTTCAAGTTAATTCCATATAAGCTGATGAAATCATTAATATAGATAGTAGATAAATGAATAGATTAGGAAAAATCTCTTCCTAAATTCATGAGAAGCAAAAATCATCTTAAGTAGTAATGTCTATAAAATATTTTATCTGTAATAGGATTATAAAAAGTTAATTTTTAATCACCACCACCAGAAATATCTAACATGGTTAATGGTGGCAAAACTTAAATTCTAAAACTGAAATAGGAAGTAAAATAAGGGAGACCTCAAGCTGGTTGATTATAACTTCACAAGTTTTCTTGCAGTTATCTAGTCGTTTTGATTCACAATGCTATCTTACTAGCTCACTAGAGTGAAAACTTTGGACTAAAATATACACAAGGTCATACCTATAATGGTAGGTATTCTGGAGGCTGAGACTGCAATGATCAAAGTTAAATGTCAGTCTGGGCAAAAACTTTGCAAGATCTCATGTCAACCAAAAAGAAGCTGGACGTAGTGGTACATATCTATCATCCTAGCTACTATGGAGATGCATATGTAAGAGGACTACAGTCTAGCCAGCCTGGGAGAAAAGCAAGACTTTATTCAAAATTAATGAAAGCAAAATGGACTGGATGTGGCCTAAAGTGGTAGAACACCAGCCTACCAGAGCAAAACCCTGAGTTCAAATTCCAATACTGCCCCAAACAAAACACTTCTATGATGCACTCCTACTTTTAGATGCTTTGCAAGGAAAACCTAATTTAAACATATCAAAAGCCAATTCTGTCCACATCATTAACATTAATTCCCATCAATTTACCTATCAATTGCTTGACTTTTTAGAAGACCAGGTTTCAATACAGAGCCTAGACTGGTCTGAAACTCACTATATAGTGCAAGCTGATCCCCAAAGTATGAATGTCTTGTCTCAATCTCATGAATACTGGGTTTACAGGCATATACAGCCAGGCTAGTCAGGCTTAGTTTTACCTAATGCACCACTGTTGTCATTCTCTTCAAGGTTTGAGGCTTGTACTTTTTTACTACAGGCTAGAACTCTACTACTTGAGCCACATTTCCATTTCCAGCCTTTTTTTTTTTTTCTGTCAGTTGTGGGCCTGGATGCTGTCCTTCAGCTCTTCAGCTCAAGGTAAGTGCTCCACCATTTGAGCCACAGCATCACTTCCGGTTTTCTGGTGGTTTATTGGAGATACAGAGTCTCATGGACTTTCCTGCCTAGGCTGGCTTTGAACTGATATCCTCAGATCTCAGCCTCATAGGTAGCAAGAACTACAGGTGTGAGCCACTGGTGCCCAGCTTAAGGCCTTCTTATTTTTGTTTCTGATGCACTTCTTTGTCACCCTTAAGTTTACTAGATTCTACCATGGAGTCTTATATCCTTTACTTCATCTTCTGAATTCTACTGCCATTTTCTAGTTCAGATCACTTTTAACTCCTATTTTTACTTTTATAAAATCCTCCTTGATACTGTCTTCTACATTACTTTTTCTTTGATTTTTTTTTTTGTCTGAGATCATAACTCAAACTTGGATATCACAATTTCGCTCATTGGCTGGCACTCTACCACCCTAGCAATAACCTCTAACCCCTAATGGGTTGGTTATTTCTTTTTTATGACTTTAGATTTAAACTAAATCTTAAAGAATAACTCTGATTGTAAAATTTTAATGCTTTTCCCATTCCTATCAAATTATGCACAGATTAATCTGAAATTTAAGATGGATAAAAGTTAGCCCTCAATTATCTTTCTGGCAGCCTCATTACTGCCTTCTGTAAACATATGCTCCAGTCAAAATGCAACTTGGACAAGGGTAGATAGTTCAGTGGTAGCATATTCACCTGTCATGTGTGGGGGCCCGGCGTTCAATCCTTAAGTACCATGACCATCACCAACTAAAGGCCAAGGCCTTCTAGTCCTTCAACACAGTCTTTGCTTATCTGTGTTGCTTCATACTGTGCTTCTTTTTCCTTGAATGTGCTCATTATTAGGTGAAATATTTCTTTAGCATTTCATCATGTACTCTGTGCCTCATGGCACCTAGCACTAAAAATATAGAAAATAATAAATCACAATAATTTGCAAGGTTTATATAACCTTGTTGTTATATATAGAAAGACATATAAGCAATTGACAATTTAATGGCCTCTTTACTATCACAAAGACTGTCAACAAGTGGACTCTTTCATACAATGCTAGCTCTGGAGTTTTAAGATTAGTACTTGTATGTTCTGCTTTGCTATCATACACAAAGAAAACCTTTATTTTAATGAATCATATATTTTACTGAATGTACTAAAAAATCCCCCAAAGTCTTAAAAATAACAAATTATTCTAGGAATATATTACAGCAATGAAAAATCTCCCATTCATTCCTCCTCAATCATCCAAACTCCCCTAACCATGTCATGTTACTAACCACAGGCCAGACTGCACTTAAAAACAAATCTCAATTTCATTCCCTCTGCCTGAAACACTTCTCATTAAATGCACACCAATCTTCCACCACCACCACCATCAACAGCAGCAGCCAAACACCTCTCTAAAAATTATCTCACTTAAGTTTACTCAATTTGTTTCAATATTATATATTATATAGTATCATACTCTAACACATACCTTAATTAGTTTTCTCCTTTTTTACCCATATTCACCGTCTATTTCCCTTAGGCATAAGAAGCTTGAAGATATCAACCATATTTCACCCATCTTGTGTGACTTAGTACACAGAAAGTTCTGAATAAGATTTTGAACTGAAAGATTTCAATTAACTAAAGTATAAGCAAAAATAATACTTTCATAATTTACAAAATAAAAAATCAAACGGTGGAAGAGTAAATGAATTTATTGACTGATGAAAAACTAAAGTGGTAAGAAGTATGTATGGATAGTAAACAATAATCATGAGTTCTGCTGGAATTCTGTATTTCTTCTTTTCACTTTTAAGCCAAAAGAACACAAAATTAGACTGTTAGTGAGCTACTTGCTTTTAGTTCCTTCAACAAAAACTGCATAGTTTAGCAGTTGCACAACATTAAATATATACATATTTGCAAAATCCTGAAAGTTTTAACTTTTGGGCTGGTGTCAAGGCTAATGCAATCACCTACACTGGTCAGATTCAGAGTTTCTTTTCCCTTTTCTGCCACCCTGTAAAAAAACAGAGAAAATTATTTAGAAAAGTAGTATCTGGGGGACATTGTCATGTTCAGAACACTAAGATCCAAAGGAGGTAGAGAAGGAAGCAAGTTTTTTTCCTTAATGTACATATCACTAAGTTATTTCATATGGGAATTTTTTTGGGGGAGGGGCAAATCTGAAGCTTGAACTCAGGGCCTGGGCACTGTCCCGGAGCTTCTTTTGCTCAAGGCTAGCACTCCACCCCTTGAGCCACAGTGTCACTTCTGGCTTTTTTTTCCTGCCTATTTGCTACTGAGGAATTGAACCCAGGGCTTCATGCATAGTAGGCAAGCACTCTACTAATAAGCCACATTCTCAGCCCTCATATGGTTATTTTTTTTATAATTTCTGTAGAAAAGTTACTTATCTATCAACTTGTTTAGGCTTGACTAATAAGATCATGTATAACTAATTTCTTAAAGTTTGTCTGACTTTCATAGTTGTTAAAAAGCAGAACTTTAGATCAATACAATAATAAACCACATACAAAATTTGGTTCATTATCCTCTGGGTAGTTCAACTTATAATTCAAGTTCTGACAATTTTTATATATATTAAAAAGAATTAGAAATTTTATTTGTTCATTTGTAGACTGAAAAGTAAGTTACTCTTTTCATATTGCTCAGTGACCTATATAAATCTGTATCTTTTGGGGGGGTTGGAAGTTTATTATATTTTATTTTTTACTGTTACTTTATTTTAAAGGTGATGTACAGAGGGGTTACAGTTACCTAAGTCAGGTAATGAGTACAGTTTTTTTTTTCAAAAAGAAAATGTCACCTCTTCCCTCACTCTCTCCATTTTTCCCTCCTGTCCCCACCTATAAGTTGTATAGTTCATTTTCAACATCGTGTTTAGTGAGTACCATTGCTGCATTTGTTCACCCTTTGTAAATCTGTATTTATTTTGTTACATAGGAAACCCCATTTATGACCTGAATGAGAATAAAGAACGCAGCTTAAAAGACAGTAATAATTTTACACATATTACTTTCCTCCCTTCTGTCTTTGTCCTTTTTTCATTTCTTTTTTTGTAGTACTAAGGTTTTAACTCAGGCCTTGCACTTCTATAAATCACTCTACCACTAAAGCTATACCCCAGACCCTTAAAAAAACAACTTTATTTATTTTTCAGATATATTTTCAAACTTTTCCTCTGGGACTGACCTAGAATCATAATTTTCCTACCTCTGTTCTCTGAATAGCTGGGGTTATAGGTGTGCACTAACTTCTTTGTTGAGACAGGATCTATAATTTTCATCCCAAGCTTTCCTCAAACCATAATTCTTCCATCTCTGCCTCTGCCTCTCATATTGCTATGATTAAAGGCATGAACTACCATGCCAAATCCTGTATATTACTTTAACACCTTGTTTCATTTTGATTTAGACTTGAAATATTTGAACTATGGAAATAAGGAAAGGACAAAGGTACTAACAAGAAACATTCAATCTTCTATAACAACATACTCTGCCCCTCATTTTAACCATAATAATGGTTTGAAGTACTTACCTTATTATGGTTTTAAAGTATTTCCCATTTCCCATTTTCATAAATGTTGACAATGAAACTGAAAACTTAATAATCAGAACCAGCTAGGCAGCAATAATTAAAAAATTCTGATGTCTAGGTTTTTGTCTTGCCCCTACTTAATTGGATTATTACATGTACTTGAAAAAGTTCCGAGATGATCATAATAATCAGCTAATTTTGGGAACTGCCTGTCTGTAGAAATACATTTCTTAAAGTGGTTGTCATTAATTAGGGGCATATCTAACATACATGATAGTAGCATCTCTTCATTTCTTTTACTGTTTTCTGTCCTATAGCTTTTCCTTCTTGGAGTCAAACTACATCAGCCTTAAAAAAATCAGAACAAAACCAAAAAACCTCCTGAGTATCAGAAGGTTTTCTTCATGCCTGACTATGTAAAAGTTCTGCAAAGATTTATTCAGAGATAAAACAGTATGAACAGATTTTGTGGGGCATGAGATATGAAAAGACACTTTTAAAATGATTTATTTCCTATTATATAACAAGGAAATAAAAACAGAGGAAAAATTATTTAAGGTAAGAAGAAACTTATGGTTCTTATCAAGCTTAAGTTTACTATGGTTATTATGGTTCAATACCAAACCTATGCTTCTCAGTGAGCCCTTTTTTTCTGTGCAGGTAGTAGAGCTTGAACTCAGAGCCTCACACTTTTGCTTGTTTTTTTTTTTTTTCTCTCTGAGATGGTCTCTACCACTTCAGCTATTTCTACTTCCAGCTTTTTGCTAGGTAATTGGAGATAAGAGTCTGATGGATTTGTCTGCAGGCTAACTTTGAACTGAGATCCTCATAACTCAGTCTTATCAATAGTTAAGATTACAAACATGAACCATGGGTACTTGGCTTCAGTGAGCCTTAAGAAAAACTCAACAACAAACATAAAAGAGTCCTTTTCAAAATCTCCCAAAGGGACTGATTCCATTTCAAAGCTAGTTTAAACAACTTTTATGTTCTCTATGCGATCAGTGATCAGTGAGTAGCTATTGAGTTTATGATTCCCATTGTTTTATGACTTAGGCATATATATGTGTACATATAAATATGTGCAATATACCCATATACATATTAAAACAGAGCACTTTATTCTTGTTTCGAAAAAATGCCGAGTACCATCTTGTAAATGCTGAATGACAGAATTAGAAAATCACACACAAAAAAATCACTCTTTTGCATTCACCAAAATAGTAACCAATACAAATGTCACCAATGGTTGTTAAAATCATTGGGTTTAGCACAGTTTAGCACCTTAACACAATTTCAATGTATCACTCAATACAATATTTACAATATTGATAGCTAGGAGATATTGCTATAATCAGCAATCAAAACTTGTAATGGTATAAATGCCATTGTGTATCTTCTCATATGATTAAAAGGCACATGTGCTACATCTATGTAGTTCCAAGGACTTTTCTGAATTATTATCTTATAACCAATACCTCAACATTTTCTAAAATGCAAATTGTATGCAATCTAAAATGCAATTTGCATTTTAGAAAATAACACAGCAAATAAATTTTAGATAAAATGAAAGTGTATTTTTCTATTCCAAATATACTGGTTTGTGATAAAAACTCTTCAAAATTACAACAGCATACCTGGTATTTGGCTAATTCTGCTTGTAATACTTTCACTTTAGATCTTTCTTGTTCTAATGCAGCATGAAGTGAAGTCACCTATAACCAAACATTTAAGAATAAAATAACTTTAATCTTTCTGACAAATACAGTGATTCTAAAAACAGTGATAAATTAAATTTTAACAATTATATCTTCCATTAGGTATTATATACAGCTATGTGTATTAAAGTTAGATACAAACTTACTGTCATAATAGAAGACAAAATAGAAATGTGAAAGAGAATGAATCAATTCTAGGAACAGGGTAAGTTCTAGCTGCCTTTTTTTTGTCCATTTTGGGGCTGAACTCTGGGCCTGGGCACTGTCCCTCAGCTCTTCAGCTCAAGGCTAGCACTCTACCACTGAGCCACAGTGCTCAGAAAACTTCCGGTTTTCTGAGTGATTCATTGGAGATAATAGTCTCATGGACTTTCCTCCTGGGGCTGGCTTTGAACCACGATCTTCAGATCTCAACCTCCTGAGTACCTAGGATTACAGATGTGAGCCACCAGCGTCCAGCCTAGCTGCCCTTTCTATCTCTGTATTCATAGTCCACTAAAATATTCAGGGATTATCTACCTCCCTTAACACAATAAAGAATCTTTTTTTTTTTTGGGGTCCGGTCATGGGGCCTGAACTCTGGGCCTGGGTGCTATCCCTCAGCACTTCACCTCAAGGCCAGCACTCTACCACTTGAGACACAGCGCCACTTCCGGCTTTTTTCTTATGTGGTGCTGAGGAATTGAACCCAGGGCCTCGAGCATGCGAGGCAAGTGCTCTACCACTGAGCCACTTTCCCAGCCCCTACAATAAAGAATCTTTACTTACTATAACAGTAATAAAGTATAATTTCCATCACTTTCTTGCAGTACTAAGGAGTTATATATTTTTAAATGAAATTTAATACTTTGAGACTAAACCAGCCATGTTTGCTCTACAGCTTACCTGTATAGTTAGCTCATTCTTGATACTTTGTGATTCATCAACTTGCAGAAGTATTTCTGCCTTATCTTTCACTGAAAAAACAATATTTTCTTTTCAGTCATTCAACTACTTTAATAATCAGTCAATTAAAGTCTATAGTCTACATGGAATACAGTTAGAACAATGATTTTTTTTTTTTTGGTCGGTCGTGGGGCCTGAAATCTGGGCCTAGGCACTGTCCCTCAGCTATTCAGCTCATGGCTAGCGCTCTACCACTTGAGCCACAGCACCACTTCTGGCTTTTTCTGCTTATGTGGTGCTGAAGAATAGAACCCAGGGCCTCATGTATGCAAGGCAAGCACTCTACCACTGAGCCACCTTCCCAGCCTCTAGAAGAATGATTTCTTAGCCCCTTAATGAATGTATTTCTTAATGCTTCATGGGTAAACTCAGATCAGTTTCATCACGCAAGTTTTGTTTTTGTTTTTCCTGGTACTGGAAATCAAATTCAGTGTGCTGCACTTGGTAGGCAAGTGCTTTGCCACTAATCTACATACAATTGCAGCAGTTTTTCTTAGACATTTTAAGGCACAGTGTTAAAATATTAATTGTACAGATATAACAAATGATTATGCTTTGATCTATACTAAGTAGGACAAAAGTATATAGAAAACTATAAAATTTTACATAGGAAAAATATTTAACTACCTTGACTTTTTATATATAATTTTTATTGTGAAAATACTGTACAGAGGGGTTACAATTACATGGGCAAGATAATGAGTACATTTCTTTTTTTGGGGGGTCCAGTCGTGGGGCCTGAACTCTGGGCCTGGGCACTGTCCCTCAGCTCTTCAGCTCAAGGCCAGTGCTCTACCACTTGAGCCACAGCGCCACTTCCGGCTTTTTTCTTTTTTGCTTATGTGGTGCTGAGGAATCGAACCCAGGGCCTCATGCATGCAAGGCAAGTGCTCCACCACTGAGCCACCTTCCCAGTCCAATTTCTTATCAAGCATTGTAGCCTTCTCCTTTGTTTCCCCTTCCCATCCTTTCCCATCCTCCCCCACCCCACCAAAGTTGTAAAGTTCGTTTTTTGACATAATGACTTGTATACCTCATTGTTGCAATGGGTCCACCTATATCCCTATTTAAATGATTTGTTTTTTCCCTTCCCCTCCACAAATTATACCGACATCAAATACAGTGAAAGCAGGGTTTATACCATGGGGGAGGGACATACAAAGCAACAAAGAAATCATCTTATGTGTTAGAAACAATCGCATGAAAGAAAGAAAACATTTGAATACATATCTTAGGGTTCATTTCATCAACTTATCTGACCTTTTCTGCTTGACTCAGACATATACTAGTTATTGAAAATAAGGAAAACCATGGGACCTATGTTTCTTTGGGCCTGGCTTACTTCACTTAATATAATTTTTTCCAAGTGTTTCCATTTCTTAACAAATGGGGCAATTGACTTCTTTTTTGAGACAGTTTCTCATTATATAGTCTAAATTGACCTTGCCTTGTCAATTCTCCAGCCTTAAGGGCTAGGACTATAACTTTTTTGTGTGAGTGTGACTGTGCCAGTCCTAAGGTTTAAACTCAGGGCCTGAGCGCAATCCCTGAACTTTTATGCTCAAGGCTAGTGCTCTACTACTTGAGCTACAGCTCCACTTCCAGCTTTTCTGACTAGGCTACCTTTGAAACATGATTGTTAGCTCTTAGCCTCCTGATTAGTTAGGATTACAGGCATGACCCACTGGTGCCTAACTTGAAAATAAGTTTTGATACCTTCTTTTCTTTTCTTTTTCTTTTGGTCGGTCGTGGGGCTTGAGCCCTCAGCGTGGGCGTTGTCCCTGCACTCTTCAGCTCAAGGTGAACGCTCTACCTCTTGAGCCACAGCACCATTCCAGTTTTCTAGTGGTTTATTGGAGATAAGAGTCTCACAGACTTTCCTGCCCGGGCTGGCTTTGAACCGAGATCCTCAGATCTTAGTCTCCTGAGTAGCTAGGATTACAGGCGTGAGCCACCAGCACCCGGCCTACCTTCTTATTTTTCAATGTGGGTTACACTGTTTCTTAGGGCTATACCTGTATTTACAAGCATTGGTTTGAAATTTCATTAACATTTATTAAGAAGGCACAATATTTTATTTAGTTTTATCTATTCAGGAAATTTTCTCATTTATTCATCTATTTATTTATTTATTTAATTTATTTAGGTGCCAGTCCTGGGGCTTGAACTCAAGAGACTTGGTGCTATCCCTGAGCTTTTCTACTCAAAGCCAGTGCTCTACCACTTGAGTTATAGCTCCACTTCTGGATTTTATTTTATTTTTTGGGGGGGTTGGGGGGATGTGCTTAATTGGAGATAAAGAGTCTCACAGAGTTTCCTGACCAGGCCAGCTTATCCATGATCATCAGATCTTACATTCCTGAGTAGCTAAGGTTGTAGGAGTGAGTCACCAATGCCTGGCTATTTATATCTTAATCTATGTAGTTTTGTATTTCCTTTGCATAAATCTTATATTAAAGATACATGTTTTGTTTGCTGTTATGGATGGAAATTCTTCATAACTTTCAAGGTATAACTATACATGTGTTCAGGGATACAACTGGGAATCTCTCATCATCATCATCAACTTTACTAATATTAATCTCTAAACACTTTTTGGATTATTTCTTTGGATTTCTACTGAGGATTTCTTGCCAACAGTTTATAGTAGCAGAAAAAGAAGGAAGAGCAGTGGAAAGGGAGAAGAAACCAAACAGAAAGAAAAGCCTACAGTGCCATCAAACTGCCTCCTCCAACAATGAAAAGCTGATCCTTAGCAAATGAAAGGACTGTTTTTCCCTCTAAATATAGTTTGATGACTTTTAAGTGTTGAGATTTCAATGGTTTCTCTTACATAAACAGTTGTAAATGTAGCTAAGGTACTTTGAGAATAACTTACAATGATAATGTTGTCAGCAACTATTCAGCTTCTGAGAAACCTTTTTATTGCTGCACTGATAAGTTATATATCTTGAAAAATTATCCTCAGATATTACGTAAGATACACTTTAATACTAAAAACACAAAATACTTACTTTCACCTTCCTGAAGCATTTTCAGTAATTGTGCATTTCTTGCCTTTACTTCTTTATACTTTGCCTAGGAGTCAAAGAAAAAAATGTTCATTTTTCAAAAGTAAATGATATGATTTAATTTAAATTAGAGAGATGTAAATTCTAGGCTTGCTGAAAGGCAAAAAATTACTTCTGAAACAAAGAGGAAAATGTAAGCAAAACCTCTCACAAAATACTAGGTAATACCATAGGTGATTAAAAAAGACAAGAGGCTAAAAATGAAGAAATGTTAGGGTAACACTAAATTTACCTAAAGAGTTTTCCTCTTTCTTTGCCAAATAAAGCTCTTATACAATTCAAAATAATTTAGATAAAACAAAAAGAAAAATGACTCACAAATTCTAAGCCTGTGCTGTTCAATTATATACTACACTTTTGATATTTTACATTTGCCACTGTTTAACATGTAGCTACCAGAAGTGTTGCTAGTGCAAGTGAAAAAATGGACTTTAAATTCTAGTTGCATCTAACTTTTGAGACACTTGTAGTGATTATTTTATTTATACTATTTTATAGCACAGTTTACCTGTTTAGTCTAGTTACTGTAATTACTGTTTGTCAGACCCCAGTCCCAGAAGAAAAAAAATACAGTAAATATATTTAATATATTATTGAAAAATAAAAGCCTAAACAAAATATATTAATATAAAGCACTTGTCATTTTGTTCATTCAACAGATACTTAAGATATGTACATAGGTAACTAGATTCATTTTATTTTGTTTTGAGATGCTAGGGATCAAACACAGAGCTTTATGCATTCTAGGCAGGTGTTCTAACACTGAGTCACATACTTAGCCCTCAACATTTAAATTTTTTTATTAATATATATCTTTTATTGTAAAGATATTGTACTTAGCCCTCAAAAAAATTTTTTGGGGGTCCAGTCATGGGGCCTGAAGTCTGGGCCTGGACGCGGTCCCTCAGCTCTTCAGCTCAAGGCTAGCGCTCTACCACTTGAGCCACAGTGCCGCTTCTAGCTTTTTTCTTTTTGCTTATGTGGTGCTGAGGAATCGAACCCAGGGCCTCATGCATGCAAAGCAAGCGCTCTCCCACTGAGCCACCTTCCCAGCCCCCCTCAAAATTTTTTTGTAAAGAAAATTTAAGTCCTACACAGATGGCTTCACTAAAAAGCATTTTATACCTGAAATTGCTGATAATAAATCAGTTATGTTTACTAAGTATTATTGCAGTTAACACAGTGAACCAAAATAAGTACCACAGGAAATACAAATGGAGTAAGACTTCTGAGATGCTTTGAAATGAGAGACAAGTCAGGTAGAAACATAAAAAATGAGAGAAAAACATATATACTCAACTATAACTACATTCACTATGAATATAGAAATATTATGAATATTTAGAACTACACTACTTTTGTTTTCTAGCTTTTCTAAGACAGGATCTTGCTATTATAGCCCAGATTGGCCTCAAACTTGCCTTCCTCATGCCTTTGAAGTACATACCACCACATATAGCTATAATTTTTTATTTCATACAAAAAAAGAGCAAATTAAGTTGATACAGTTAAAAGCATAGAAGTTGTGCATCTACTGTATCCTGAGCATTTATGACTCTAATAAAACCATTTCAAATTCAACATATCCAAAATGGACTCTGAGAATTATCATTCCTCAATTTAAAATGTGTTTTCTCTAATATTCATGGTTTTACTGGACTACCTTGACTATAGGCATCAGTTACAACATTATCATCCCATAAAAAAATTCTCATGTCACTTTGCTTTTGAAGACTTTAAGCGACCTCTAAAATCCAAATGCCTTCAAATTCTGAGTCCAACAAATACTTCCAATCTTATCCTCCACAGGTTTCACATTTCTCTAAATGTCAGCTACTTCCTACAGTTACCTTCCTATGCCTTTTACACTCTTCTCCCTACATGCTAAAGTTATCTTTTTGTGAAATTTTCACCAGTTTTCAATATTAGAAACAAATCCCTTCATTCTGTCAAATATCATAAAATTATAAATCCCACATTTTTATCTTCCCCAAACTCATTTTTACATTCCCCATACCTCTTAACACAAAGGAAAATAGAAACGAAAGGCTAAGGAACGTGAGTATACAGAGTTTGGAAATATTTTAGCAAGCTGAGTCTTAAAAGCAAAGGTAGAGGAAGAAGGGAAATGTAAGAACCATTAGATTTGAAGCTTGATTTTTTTCAATTTTGCATATTTTGGGTCCAAAAAGGACCTGGTACATTACAAACACTTCATAAATAAGTGATGAATGATCCACTATTAGTCAAAAGAACATCTGATGTGGTTATCTCTAAGGAGATTTTTAAGCCTAAGCAAAGAACTAAGATTTATGATTAAACAAATTGTATACACACAGGAGCTGGTGACTCAAACCTGTAATCTTAGCTGTGCAGGAAGCTGAGATCTAAACTTCAAGGTTCAAAGTCAATCTGGGCAGGAAAGTCTGTGAGATTCTCATTAATTACCAATAAAGCCGTAAGTATACAAAGGCTCAAGTGCTAGAGTGCTAGCCTTAAGCAAAAAAGCTCAGGGATACCACCAGGCCCTCAAGATTTCAAGCCTAAGGACTATTGTGCACGCATGCATGCATGCATGCACATATGTGTACACACACACACACACACACACACACACACACACACACACACACACACAAATAACCTCCTTCCCAGAAAATTGTATACGTAACAAGCATTAGCAGGAACCTTTATGCACTGCTGGTGGGACCATTAGTGGTACGGATGTTGTGGAAAGTAATTTGGAGGTTTCTTAAAAAGTTAAACAGAATTATCATATGTAATTCTTAAGTATATTCCATAAGAATTCAAAGAAGGCACTTAGATATTCATATACCAATAAATAAAACATAGTATATACATGAAAGGGAATATCATTTAGTAATAAACAGGACTGAAATTCTGATAAATGCTACAACATGAATTGGTTTTGAAAAGAATGCTAAGTAAAATAAGCCAGAGACAAAAGAAAACTATTGGGCAATTTTATCTACATGAAGTACTTAGAAAAATAGCTATGATGATTCCACAATACTGGGAAGGTAATTAATGCTACTGAACCATGCATTTAAATGTTTTATAATAAATATCATTCATATTTTAAATAATCAGTTAAAAACTCTAAACAGCAAAATGACTATGTGTATTAGCTGAATATTAAACATGTTTATAAATAAGAAAAACCAAAGCTGTGCAAATTTAAAGAATTATTTTCTTTAGAACAGTAAATGGAGGTAGGCACTGGTGGTTCACATCTGTAATCCCAGCTACTCAGGAGGCTGACCTACGAGACTTGTGGTTTGAAGCCAACCTGGGCAGGAAAGTCCATTTGATTTGTATATCCAATTAATCAGAGTTGGAGCTGTAATTTAAGTGGTAGAGTCCAGTTCCTGAGTTCAATCCCTAGGACTGGCAAACACATGCACATGCACCCACACACGCACCCCAAACACACTCAAGAGTAAATAGATACAAACCTCCCACTGAGTGATCACAGTTTTCAGCTTCTGGATTTCAGCATCTTTCCTTTCAAGTTCCAACTTTAGTCTTTCAATTCTTCCATCTTTTAGAACCACTTCCTGAAAAAAAGAAAAACAATTTCAGAACTAAGATTACTCAATCCTGGTTTACAAGACTGCTTTGTGAAAAAAATTAAGAGGAAAAATACTATTTCTCAGGTAACCTTAGACTATTTAACTACATTCTTTTGACTCAATTATATGAACCTAATTATGTAAAGTGAAAAGTTTTTATGATCAATCTAAAACTATAAGAATATTCTTTAGCATATCAGGCCTTTGAAATGATACTTATATCCTAGAATAAACATATTAAAGTTACTCCATGACAAGCTATTAGTCTATCTTGAAAATCCTTATTTTGCACCATATACCAAAAATAAAATAAAGTTATCCCCAAGTCATACTTTTGGTAAGTATAACTGGTTTAACTAATACTAACACAAAAATCTCTAACTAGGAGTATATACAGAGACTATTCTAAAAGTTTCAGATTTATTTGATATTAACTCATGATAGAATTTTTTTTTTTCGGTTGTGGGGCTTGAACTCTGGGTCTGAGAGCTGTCTCTCAGCTCTTCAGCTCAAGGAAAGAGCTCTACCACTTGAGCTACAGTGCCACTTCTGGTTTTCTAGTGGTTTATTGGAGATAAGAGTTTCACGGACTTTCCTGCCCAGGCTGGCTTTAAACTGAGATCCTCAGATCTCAACCTACTGAGTTGCTAGGATTATAGGTGTGAGCCACTGGCGCTCGGCTCAGAAATGATTTTTATCTTGACCCAGGGTAGACATATACACAGGAACAATTTTAATGAAATTATACTGACATTTTCTTCTGTCCTTTTTTTTGTTTTGTTTTCTAAGTATTGGTAGTAATCTACTGAATGAAACCAAATGCTGTGTCAACAATGGTAGAATTAATTCTAGCTAGATGGTTGGAGAACACACTGGATAAAAGTTGGCAAATACCTCCCTTGCGTCTCAACAAAAATGCCAGGTATGAGGATATATACCTGCAATCACAGCTGTATGAGTATAAACAGATGATCATGGTTGGTGAGCAGCCCAGGCAAAAGAATGCCACCTTATTTGAAAAACAACTAATGGGCTGAAGGTGTGACTCAATTGGTAGAGCACCTGCTCAGCAGGTGCAAGGTTCTGAGTTCAAACACTAATATTCCCTCCCCATCCCCCGCAAAAAAAAAATTAGTAGACTGAAGGTTGGTTTTCTTTTAATTCCTGGATAAAATTCACAGTTTAAAAGGATTTAACCTTGGAAAGACTTCTTCTTTACAAAGGGGTGCAAAAAATAATTTAAAAAAAGACAAGAGGGGGCTGGGAAGTGGCTCACTGGTAAAGTGCTTGCCTTGCATGCATGAGGCCCTGGGTTCAATTCCTCAGCACCACATAAGCAGAAAAAGCCAGAAGTGGTGCTATGGCTGAACTGAAGAGCTGAGGGACAGTGCCCAGGCCCAGAGTTCAGGCCCCATGACCAACAACAACAACAACAAAAAGATAAGAAAGGAATGTAATGCAAAGAGAAAGGAGATATAAAGTAGAAGATTTTTCAAATGGTTTTAATTTTTTTTCTCCGTAACACTGAATGGCAAAAGTCTTCAATTTTTAATTTATGCAAATTTCACATATGTAAAAGTTATATATACAAATATAGAGATATATAGCATATATAAAAATACATAAAATAACCCAATATATGGATTAAGAATTTGAGCATGGGGTTGGAGGTGTGGCTCAGTTAGCAGAGTGCTAGCTTGTAAGCCGAAAGCATCAGGTACTGAGTTTGAAGCCTGGTCTCATCCAAAAAAAAAAATTAGAATTTGAACATTTTCTGAAAGAAATATTGAAAATGTTAGGATCTGGAATGAGTCAGATTTTGAAAAATAAACAAAAAAAGACCAAAATTTGTTTTAATTAAATCTCTAAAAATAAAAAAAAAATTGTTACAAATTCCTTAGCAGCACCATGTCATATACCTTTCCCAGATCATATCCCCTAGGACATCCACTAATGGGAATTTTGTGTTATCACTGTCCTTGCTTTTTACTGTTATCTATCTATCTATCTATCTATCTATCTATCTATCTATCTATCTATCTATCTATCTATCTATCTGTCTGTCTGTCTGTCTGTCTGTCTGTCTACCTACAAAAAAAAAAACCCTAGTATTTAAAAAATGTAAATTCCATTCTTAAAATGGCCACCAACTGGATTTGAAATACTTGTGGGTTCTGGCTTTCTTAGGATAAAATTCTAACTTCTTAGTTTAATAAAAATAAATAAATAAACTGGACTGGAAAGATGGCTCAGTGGTAGAGTGCTTGCCTTGCATGCATGAGGCCCTGGGTTCAATTTCTCAGCACCACATAAGCAGAAAAAGCAGGCAGTGGAGCTGTGGCTCAAGCGGTAGAGAGTGCTAGCCTTGAGCTGAAGAGCTGAGGAACAGCACCCATGCCCAGAGTTCAGACCCATAACTGCCAAAAAGAACCCCAAAAACAAAAAAAACCACTTAAATCTGATCTACTACACTAAATGTCCTATCCCATACTTACTTAACTTTCACAGTTTCAGAAATTTTCAGTTTCCTGAAAAGGCTTTTCATAATTTGGGACCTCTGTTTCTGCAGCTGCCTTAGGAAGCAGTCTTTTTCCATTTTTCAGTTTATATAATGCAAAATTGAAAATCTATCTCATGTACCAAGTGATCTATTACCTTTACTATTCAAAACTTCTTTTTAAAGCTGTTCTCATCTCCTTTTAAGCTTTTATTATGCTAAATAAAAATCCACATAGTGGTCATGTCTATCTCCTTTTATTCCCACTATTAGAATGCCTAAGAGAAAAAGGTAATCTCTTTCCCCAACACCTGTGCCTAACTTTACATAGAATGCATGCTCAGTAAGTACTGGTCAATGAATAAGCTACATACATAATTTAGTGAAAATATCTTTGTGGGACAATGATTAAGATAATATCTTAAAACATTAGTTTTTACAATTATCCTTGGATTCTAATGCTTATTTTTTTAAAAAAAACATAATTTGGGTGACACTGATTAATATGTATCATACTCATAAGCTGACATGTTAAACTAAAACTTGTGGTATCTATACACAATGGAATATTATGCAGCCATTAGAAATGACAAAATAATGGCATTTGCAGGGAAATGGATGGAGCTAGAAGGAATCATGTTGA